TGAGGTCTTGAATTTCTTCCTATGTTTGGAAGGTGAGGAGCTGTACAGTTACTTGCTTTGCTGGTATTACATCCTCCATATTTGCCTCTTTCAATAAGCAGGAAAAGGACTTTATTACTTCATCACTTGTAAGTATTGGAACCTTGTTGTGATTGGAGTTTAACTATCTCGACTTAAGTTTTTAGAATATGTGCATAATAGTTATTGTAGATAACCGCTGCATTGCATGACAAAACACCATCAGTCAGATCAGCAGCTTGCCGAGCTATTGGTGTAATTTCCTGTTTTCGAGAAACAACTTTATGGTAACTTAGCCCTTTGTCACTGTCTGTTGAAATCATTTGTTGCTTTTCCCAACTATCCCTGGCAAGATATCTATAGGGAAGAACTTAAGGAAATTTGTTGATGCAGTGCGGGGATATATGAAAATTTTATCATAGCTGTTGAGGCGAATACCCGCGATCCATTGACCTCGGTANTGCNTTATCGACTTTCATATGTTTGTTCTCATAAGCTATGCATTTTAGATTTACTTGTCCCACTGCAATGGGCTTTATGCTTGTCAATTCAGGTACGTATAACAGCATCCTGGGCGTTGGCCAATGTATGCGACTCTCTACGTTACCACGTCGATGATATGTCTTTTGAAGGTATGAATGCTGACGTTATAATTAGAGTTTGATACAACTTTTGGATTTATTTTTCCGTTCTCCTTATTAGGATCAAAAACAACTTCACAAGTTGTGAACTCGTTAATAGAATGTGCTCTGCGCCTTACTGAGGATGGGGACAAGGTAATGAAAATCGATCCCAACATATCGTGATAAAATTGATCAGTTTGTCCTATCCGTCATCTAAATGTTTTGTTTTTCTGATAAATGTATTCACTGCACTAGACTGTTCCATATGGATGGTCTTTCAGATATTTTTTTTCTATGGAGCACATAGTAGTTTTTAGTATCGTAGTTATATGCACACTTGCCATCATCATTTGCGTAATTTTTTTTTTAGGTTAAATCCAATGCAGTTCGGGCTCTGGGGAGTATTTCAAAATATGTAAAGTTAAGATGCGTGACAAGTATAAAGTCACCACCGGACGAAGAGGTATTACCTTTGGCCCATCAACATTCATCAAATTCTCACCATCTACCCTGTGCGGGAGATTCAAGCTGGTTGGAGAGAACCGTGCAAGCATTTCTTTCCTGTGTTACTACTGGTAATGTTAAGGTATACCTTAATAAGTAGAATTAAACTAAATGGTTTCATCTGGATGTAAGCATTTGGGTTTCAATCAGTTTTTGTTTGGTTGGCTTAGTTTTGTTTGAGATAAGCTTTATCAAATTGAAATCCAATTAACTTGGTTTGGTTTGATAAAGTAATCTTATACAGAAACGTATTCGATTTGATATGGCTTGGTTTAATGTGGTTCGATTTGTATACGCATCCTTAGCTTTATGTACCACATTCTGACTTCGGAAATTGTACAGGTTCAATGGAATGTTTGTCATGCGTTAAGCAATTTATTCTCCAACGAGACAATTAAACTGCAGGATATGGATTGGTATGCATCCTTTAGCTTTCTATTACCAAANCTGCTACTCTCGGTGACCTTGACCAACTCCTCCTCTTTTGAAGGGCTCCAAGTGTTTTTAGTATTCTACTATTGCTGCTTCGTGATGCATCAAACTTTAAGATAAGANTACAAGCTGCTGCTGCATTATCTGTCCCAGCAACCCCACTTGGTGAGTTTGATACTATCCCTCTTTCNTCCCTCCCTTGTAGCTATATTAGTTTGGAGAAGATCATTTTCTCTCCCATATTGNTGGGTTTTGGGGATCGTTTTGTTTGGCTAAATTCTCTCTCGCACATANTGTAATTGCAGCCTATGGGAGATCATTCCCTGATGTTGTCAAAGGTGTGGAGCATACTTTACAAAGTNTGAATTCTGAGAGAGAGACAACTCCAGCAAATTTCAAATATAAGAGATCGCTTGAGAATCAGGTAAAACCACGAAATCCTTGTTAACCTTATTTTAGATTATTAATGAATGATTTATAATGCGCGGTTGGTCGTTTCAGTTAACCTCAACCATGCTGCATCTCCTGAGCCTAGTTTCAAGCTGTCATTGTGAACCGTGGACAGATTTTCTTCTAAGAGTAAGTAAGAAACAGGCAGTTATTATTGTTAACACCACTGTTTTCGTTGATTGGTCTTAAAGGAGTAGTCTAGTGACTCAAACTTTCTTGTTGGTGTCGGATGAAACCCTACAGAAAGCCTTTTTTCTAGAGGAGTGGTTGAGAAGATTGTGTGTGACATTAAAGGAGGAAGACAATGCGNCTGGAGCAAGNNGCACAAGCACTACAGGCGAGAAGCAGAAGAAAGAGTTGATCTCTAGAGCTATACAGTTACTTGCCACAAGCTTAGGGGATGGACATAGCCGTGAAATGGCTGTAAAGTTGCAGGAGTTAGATAGCAATGTGAATTGACTAAGCAGGCAATGCTTTTCGTGTTAACTTGGCCCTGTAATTTACACTCAAGTGACTGTTAACAATCCAGTACACATTAGCTCCCATGACAAATTTTGCCGAGTTACTTTGATAGAGTAACCAATGTTCTATAGATTTAGTATGTTATGATGTTATTACCAAAAAAAAGTGTGTAGTGAGAGTTAAAGTTAAATTGTCTTTAGGAATTTAACTATCATAAAGCTACAATTAAAAAAAAAAAAAGTTAGATACTCATAAAACATAGGTGTTAACCAACTAATTCTCCATTCTTGACCCGCGACGGACGGCTATGGTTTTTTTGGAGTTAGTCTTTCTAGATCTAAATTTTAAGATTGCACAATTCGTCAAAAACTTATAGACTTCAAAAATGTTAGCTAATAAATTTCAAAAAGCTAGTACGTTTCGACAATATAACAAAAAATAATAAAATGTATCCAAACAATTTGAAATGGTAAATAGGGCTCTAACGATAATCTTCCAAATTTTCCAAAATAAAGGTGTTATCTTGTAAATTATAAGTAAACTAGTTCTTAAAAAAAACAAATGGCTAATGTGGAGATTAAACTATTTTGACCATATTCTATCGTAAACAAGACTAAAGATGTTTACAAGCATAAATTTACAATTCGTCAAAAACTTATAAACCTCAAAGGTGTAAGCCAGCAAAATCCAAAAAAACCAATACGTTTCGACAATCCAAAGTGGAAGGTATATAATTTCTACAATTTGAAATAGTAAAAGGCTACAAATTATCAATAACTAACAAAAAAATGTGATTTAGCTAAAGGAAAAGTATTTTGGACATTATGAGATTTTAACGTGAAAATGGAAGAAATGTCAACAATCCTAAACAAATATAACTAAGGAAAGAATTAAAAACTTGTTGTAAACTATAATTATAATAAAGTGAGATAGC